ATTATTATTATTATTATTATTATTATTATTATTTAGTCAATGCCTTTAAGAGCTTTTTAACAATCTCACACACACTCTCACTCTATTTGACGTATTCGAAATATTTAGAGGTCAGTATCTCGCTAAAAGACACCTTGAATTGCGGACTGAAGAAGCCGGATTGAAGCACTGACTTTCTGATTAGCAGACAACCTGAACTGCCTCCAGCTGCCCCATCCCACAACATTTCCTCACCAAAGAAATGAATATAAATTTAGTTATATTAAAACCTTATGATATACTGAGGACTGTTTGCCACTCTCTTCCAAAGCAAGAAGAAAGTTTTTGAGAAAAATTCACTTGTGGTCTGATGTGGTCAGTTTTCAGTATCTGCCCAGATAACATTTTTCATGGATATCTGGATGGCTGGTTGGTTCTTCATCTTAAAGAAACAGACTTCTGCACTAAAATTTGCTTAATAGTATCTGAGTCATGACTATTCTTATAATGCAATAAAAAAGCTATTTGGAAATATCTGGACCTATTACCTCTCACGCTGGACTGTTTCCTAGTGTATAAAACCATGGCATTTAGCAATGTTATGCAGGAACAGCTAAGGGAGAGCCACACTTTCCATCAACAGATGGTTATGTTTAAAAGTATCAAATATATTCATGCATTTCAGATTTCCATTTCCTATATAAATTGATTCATTCAGATCTTTTAGATCAGTTCAGAATTGGAACACTTTGAACACTTGTGGCATACCAAAGACCTGTATATTACCCTAAACACAGACAAAGATCAAGCCTCCTCATGTGAGATAAACCATATTCATCACCATTCTAATCTTTTTAGACCTGCTCAATTATTTTACGTTTAGATTACTCATTTATTTTACAAGAAATTAATAACAGAATGTAATTTTTTTTAAAGTAACTCCAGACCTGCCAGCTCTGCTTGTTCTGATGGGGTTTTACCATCACCATTAATCACAGTGTAAAGTTCCCAAAAGTGAGGAACCTTACACTGCACATGTGCACAGATGAAGGGAAGTTTTGGAAAGAACTGACGTTTCTCAAAAATGTTTAAGAGGATCTTTAAGATGGTTCATTATAAAGTCCTGAATAAAGCAGGTACATTTATTATTTGAGTCAAGTGGGACATTTATTTGCATAATCATTCTTAGGTATTCTGAGCCTGGATCCCTGAGTCATCTGGATCATTATTGATGTTGCTGTTATTCATAGTAATATTTATTAATAGTATCATTAACAAGAAGAAGAATCATTTTATTTTATTTTTATTTTATTAAATTTTTTATATATATATTTTAAGTATTATATTTAAAATTTGCCAGATTTTTAAAAAGTTCCCATTTTTTGAACAACTCTGTGATTTCAATTTTATTTTATGAAAAGAAAAACACCAGAACTGTTTGAACCAGGAATCTCGCCTTTTTGCCCCAACCGAGGAACCATCACTCATTTGTGTAGCTGGATCTTATCGTGGGTTTTTAGTCCACTTGTTAAAAAAAAAAAAAAAAAAAAAAAAGAAATACTATAATAAATTCACCAATTAAAAGGACAAAACTTCTCTTAAATATCGTTAAAGCTTTGATCTAGAGAAGCAGCACTCACATGGAGGTGATGTTCTGGAAAAGATCCTCGATGCTCCCGGTATTATTCCCAGCATTCCCGGTGCCTTGGAAGGACAGCAGCGGGAAGAACTGGCTGTTGTCGGACTTACTGCAGAAGATTTCAGTGGGAGAGCAGGTGCAGGTGGGGGGACAGTCCAACAAGGAGCTCGGGCAGCTGTGAAAGAAAACGCTGAGCAGAACGGAAACCTTCCAGCAGCACCGGATCCCGAGAAGGCGACGCGCGCCGAACAAATCCATGCTGTCACGATTCAGTCCCAGATTCCAACTTTGAAGCCGAACGAGAATGAAAATGACTAAAAATGAAAATGACTCAGTCCGTCAGAGTCTGAAGCCGCGTGAACGCTGCGCTCGCCTTATTCCGCTCAGTGGAGTCCAAACGGTCAAAGCTGTAAACATCTCCCTCCGTGTGTTCACGCGTGTCTGAGTGTGCGCGTGCTTGTGGGGGTATCAGAGGTTTTAATGATGCCAGTCACGCCCCCCTCCCTGTTTGTCACACCAACAACGTTTGGATGGAACAAAGAGGACAAAATAAGAAAAATCCAGAATATTCTCCCGCTGTTTGATGTGTACGGTCGCGGTGAGCATTTTTCTCCTTTTCATCTCCTTTTTGAGTCATCTGTCCATCTCTCAGTCTCTCCCACACACTCTCTCTCTCTCTTTCTCTCTCGCTCCCCGTGGCGTTTCTTCCGCCAGGGGTCGAGAGAGAGAGAGAGAGAGACCCCATCCTCTGAGTCCACCTGCTGGGCAGAGGAGCGCAGTGGACACGCGTCAGCTTTGCTTTTGTGCGCACGCACACACACGAGCGAGAGAAAGAGAGAGATATTCACACTGCTCTGATCAGGCTGAGTTACAGTAAAGAACAGTTTAAATAGCAATTGGGATAAATATGACGCCGAGTTCGTGATTATCAGACACATATGTGTATTATATTATCTCCATCAAGCTCTTGAACTGTTGTAAAATGAGCAGCTACTCTTTCTCAGGTGACGGTGCAGGAGTAAAGGTTTGGTTAGGTGGATGAAAGCTGGCCTTTGAGGCAGCTGCGCTGTGACCACTGAGTCACAGCGCTCCCTGTTTGGCTTGACTGAAACTATAGCATTATGTGACCACTAGAGGTCCCTGAATGACAGAGTGTAGCTGTGGGATCATACAGGCTTAGTTTTCCTTTCTAACATAATGTATACTGTGATCTACGTGTAAGTGTATGTGTCTGCATACGTGTTGGATCCCAAGGAGATGTTACACAGATTCTCCTCGCCTGCAGATCATGTCCTGTGGAAATCACAGTTCACCTGGAAATGTGTCCACACATATTACCCCCATATTCTGTTCTCCACACACTCTCACTCAACAATAAACGGTCTGTACAAAGCATCTCGTGAATGTTAATGTAGAGTAATGAGCTTGCTGACCATTATTCTTCCATTCATGTTTTCCTCTGTCTCAGTTTAATCACAGCTTATCAAACTGATTGTCAGTCAGTTTTCCTCCATCCAGGGATATCAGTTGAAAATGTGACTTTTATCTCATAGTCACTTGGCCTGTAATATTAAAAGGACTCATAAGGAGGATATCCACTTTAATGACTGTTTGAGACCTATCACTAGTTTTATGTACAGATGGCAAATTTACACAGAGGGGGAAGAGTTTGTGTGGGAGCCACCACAGTGTCTCTAGTGGGCTCTGTCTACCTGATGGCACAGTCATGTTCACTGGTATGTGTATAAAATTTGAAAAAATTACCAACACTAGGAGTGGTGTATATTTGTATATCAATATATTCCACGTATACTCACAATTGATATCAGGGGCAGACAAAACAGAATGATGATGCATCCTGTATCATCCTGCACTTCAGCTGGAGTGGTACACAACTGATCTCAGGCATTGATAACTGGTCCACTGAGGAAGAAGTTGTTAATCCTTTTCTATTTTTTGATAGATATAAAGGAGGTCAAAAAGATATTTTTAAAAAACAAGCTGGTTGGAATAAATCTTTATCAAATCTCAGTATCATTTATGAAATTAATTTTCTCTCTCTTTTATAGAGTATCAATGATATAAATTCTGATCAAAATATCTCAACAACAACTATAGGCAGGGCAGTGCGTGTGAGTGTTGGGGGAGCCTGACCTCCATAGGCAGTATCTCAATGCTCAATCTCAATCAATAACTGGTCTGTTATTGGTATGGACGCTAAAAATGGTGAAGAGTACAACTCTGGAGGAAAAGTGCAGCACCAGTTCATGCAATAATCATGAGTGTGATGAATTTCTGTGAAGCCATAGTGTATCTTTTAATGTCCAAAATACTTTCAAAGAGAGCTTAGGGCCAGTGAAGGGATGGAGAGTTCTGCTCTGCAGGCACAACCACAGGTCTCACTGTCTCAGTAAAGTACTGGATGCCAGATTGGATAACAGACTGTGGCACAGACTAAGGCATGTAGCAGAATTTTATTTGTGTTTTTATTTTACCAACAGGAGTTCTTCTGGCCTTACAGGACAACCTCAATATCTGTCTTGCTCTTAAAAGAGTGGATTCATTGCAGCTATGAAGCAAATTTCCAGACATGAAGTGAATGCAAAAGAATTGAAAGCATACTTATTGCCCAATTTACTCGCATTTAAAAACAAGTCGAGTCAGTTCGACTTGTCTTCCATTACAATCGAGTACCATCTAATGTGTATTGGCTCGTTACAGCAACGTGAATGCCGCAACAAAGGTGGATGTTGAGGCAACGGTATACCTGCTGCTTGGTCTGTTGTTTTTGGTCAGGCTCGATGACCACAGTGTTGTTTTTGTGCAGCTGTTTCCTTCATTGCCGAGTTTCAAAAATGGTGGTTTGATTTTTCTCAAAGACACGCTCTCATGACTCATCAAGTGACGTCACTGACTAGCCGGCATGTAGGCTGTGAATGTCACATTTTTTTGGATCTTCAAGTAGCTACTAAACAAATAGCTGGTATGAGGGACTATCATCTAATGGAAAACCCTAAAAACTGTGTCAAGCCATGCCGAACCCACCTGAGTAGGTACTAATGGGAAAAAAAGCTATAAGTGACAATTTAGGGTCACCTGATCCAGCCCTAACTATATACTTTATTAAAAAGGAAGTTTTTAACCCTATTCTTAGAGTGGAGTAGTAGAGAGGGTTTTTGTCTTGTGAATTCAAACTGGAAGCTGGTTTCACAGAAGGAAGCCAGGAAGCTGAAGGCTCTGCCCGCCATTCTCCTTTTAATACCCAAAGCACCACAAGTAAGCTTGCAGTCTGAGAGAAAAGTGCTTTACTGGGGAGATACCATGAGGTCTTTTAGATTAGATTAAGCCTGATTATTCAAGGCCTTGTATGCAAGAAGTAGGATTTTAATTTCTATTCTGGATTTACCAGGGAGCCAATGAAGAGAAGCCCGTATAGAAATATACTCTTCTCTTCCTAGTCTATTTCAGTTCTCTTAGTGCAACATTTTGGATCAAGGGTTTTAGTGATTTTTAAGGCAACCCAATAATAATCAATTATAATAGTTCAGCCTAGAAATAATAAAATTAACTAATTTTGTTACCATCACTCTGTTTTACTGATAGGAAGCTCTATAGTAGGGTACAGGAAAGGAGAGCTAATTAGTCAAACCTCAGATTAAGGAGGAACAATGTCATTTTCATCTTAGTTGAGGAATGTAAACCAGTTCTTTATCCTCTCCGGGATATTCAAATATGCATGGGAGTTCGCCCATCCAGTCTACATGTGTTTTGTGGACTTGGAGAAGACACTGAACTGCATCTCTTGGGGAACCCTGTGGGGGGTCCACTGATATGAGCCTTTCAGTCACTGTATAACCATTGCAAGACTAGGCCCACATTGCTGCAAAAAGTTGGATCTTGTTGGATCTCTCGCTTACGAGTGAGGGGGAGGAGAGCAGGAGATTGAGAGACAGATTGGAGCCAAGTCTGATGTGGATGTTGCACCAGTCTTTTCTGTTGAAGAAAGACCTGAGCATAAAAATAAAGCTGTTGATTTACTGGTCAATCTATATCTTCACCTCACCTATGGTCATTAGCTCTGAGTAGCAACTGAAAGAATGAGATTGCTGATACAAGATGCAAATATGAGCTTAGTCAGGATTGCTGGTTTCTCTCTTAGAGATAGGATGAAGATTGCAGTCATTCAATAGAGGGTCAGATTAGAGCTACTGCACTTCCACATCGAAAGGAGCCAGTTGAAGAGGTTCAGACATCTGACTAGGATGGCTTCTGGGCAACTCCTGATTGAGGTGCTCTGGGAATATCCTACTGGAAGGTGGCCCCAGGGCAGAACCAGGACAGGCTTGAGATATTAGATCTCTCAGCTGGCCTGGGAAAGCCTTGGTGTTTCCCCCCAATAAGCTGGAATAGTTCGCTGGGGAGAGGAAGGTCTGGGTGTCCTTGCTTAGGCTTCTACCTACCCAACCCAACCCTGGATGACTATCAGAAAAAAAATGGACGTATGGATCGAGAGATGGATGGAGTTTTTGATACCTTATTGTTGTCATTGTCCCTCAGTCCTCCAGGTTTGTCTTCTTTATATTTCCCCCCCTTGATTTTTTTCCTCTGTGTGCTTGTTTGTTTGTGTCTGTGTTTGTGGGCGAGACTCAATGCAACAATCAACCACCCATTCCTGAAGGTTGCATCAGGGAGCCACTACTTAAGGTAGTAGCTGATAGTCATGCTTTGCATCATTGAACTACTCAGTTAAACACTGGCTCTTACTTCTGTGTGTGTGTTTTGTTCTGCCTCTCGTGTCACAAATTCTTACCATGTGTTTTACTTTGTACAGATCCCCAGATTCCCTTCTGTGGTGTGCTGAGCTTGATGCTGAGTTTGAGAGCGAGTGTTACCTGTAAATATTGAATGTGTGGATTCCCTACCTCCCTGGACCCGCCTGGAGCACTATTCCCCTGTTGCATTGTTCACGGTGTAAATATCTATTCACTGGAAATAAAAGTCCTGAACTGTGGTCTTCTAAACCCTGCATCTGAGTCCTACCTGCCCATTAGCCTTGATAATTTTAGTGTACTATGAGTCTTCGGTATTTGTATTATTGACTTTTTGGTGTTGTTTCACCTTTATTATTTTTCTAAGGGGGAGTTTTTAAAATTTGAATTAAATTAAATTTAAATCACACATTAGTAGAATTTCCTGTTTCTGTTTCTTTTGCTAGGCTTCTGGCTTTTGAAAAATTAAGAGGAAGAAAAGAAAAGAAAAATTGTCTTGTCTTGTAAGCTGTGCACCTGTTTTTTGTTTTAATTTAATTTAATTTAATTTTAGTTTGTTCTTACTGTAAATCACTATATATCTATATTTATTCCACTTAGGTTTTGGGCTAAAAGGGTTTGGTGCCACCCATTCTGATGAAATCAATCAGATGTTAATGTCATGACTTCTTAATGTACCTATGACCATAATGCATTATGGATGAGCCATTGATTCCTAATGGCTGGTTAATGTAGAGCATGTGACCAGGCTGTGGTTTCATGATAGATGGATAGAAACAAACCTCTCTGTTTTTAGGTCTTTCAGCACCTCTGTCATGTTCTTACACACACACGCACACGCACACACACACACACACACACACACACACACACACAACACAGGCCTGCAGTATGTTTTGCAATAACAGGGGTGTTGCTAGACTCT